CCACCCCTTCTCCCATTCTCTCTAGGGTCCCTATCTTTGGGATTCATACCCAAGCCCTACTTAGTGGACAGCAGGGGACATACTATCTCACATTACTGGGCTTTCCTATGTGTAGATAGCAGCAGAACTCTGGCTGCCACTGGCCCCTCTCTCCTAAAAAGTCTCCTAATTAACATCTAGGAAATGAAATACCTGACAAGACATCATCATATCCAACATTTACCACCACTCTCCAGCCAACAGGAGTTAAAGTGAAGCATGGGTGGGGAACATGCTGCTGTCCCATCATGTGTTTCTCCAGTTAGTTGTTCCCAGGAAACATAAGATAACGGCTGCCAGCTTTCCTCCTCATAAACATCTAGTTAGGTCCTCAGAAGAGACCATTCAAAGATCCATATTCTTTCTGGAGTTCTCATTAAGAAAGAAGTTTCTTGTACCTGAGATTAAAGAGTACAGTCAATATCCATTTTTCCCCCCTTGCTGCATCTTTGAGCCTTAATTTGGCAATGCAAGAATTAGAGCTCACTTATTAAGTCAATACTTATCCATAGCGCTTTGTGTTGGATTAGATGGGGGGGCTGGTGTTAATGAAAAAAACAAACCATAACCTATCGCATTGGCTCCTATTGCCTGAAGCAACCAAACAGAAGAAGAAAAGGCATGACTGAAATGTAAAGTACATTTCTTTTGAGCTGTTGTATTGTGAGTAGGGATGGGACAATATGTCCATTTTGGTTCCTCATTTGTCCAGTCTTAAGGTCAGTTCCCCACATTTCCACATCAGATTGCAATTTTTTTTAAAGGTTCTCATGAAAATTTATCAGCATTTTCCTGCACAGATGCACACACACAGTTTCCCAAAATATACACGTTTGTAAAGAAATTTCCCTAATATAAGGCATATGGTATGTTATTTTCACCAACACATGCATTTATATGCACACTCCTTTGAGTTTTGTACACATTTGTTCACTTGAGAACTTTCATTGCAAAATTTGAATGGGTGAGACTTGGGAAATCTGTGTTTTGGTTTGCATATTGTTTTGGAAAGTGAGAATTAAGTAAGGATGCTCTTAAATGTGAACTGAATCAAATTTCTGTCCCATCCCTCCCTGTGACAAAAAATAAATAAATGAGATGCTGCATTCAGTAATTTGTCTGTCATCAAAAGCTCGTAAGAAAGCTTTGTGGTGGTATAGATGGGAGATCACCTCTGGATTAGAAACTGGTTTAAAACAGGTAATAAACTTTTCCTTCTTGTCATTGGTAGCAGCAGGTGACATGATTGGACAGTGCTGCTCAACTGACCTCCAGCTAGTTATGTCATTTCTGCTTACTGGGAAGTAGAGTAGTAGTAGTGAGGCAGTGGTGAGGTTGGCACAGTGCAAACATACTTACACAGTTAATCCAGTGTTCTTCCTGGTGAGTTTGCACTATGCCAACCTTGCCTCCCCTCCCCCCTCTATTGCCCAGTAAGCAGCAGTGGTGCAGCTGGCTGAAGGTCAGGTAGGTGCTGCAGCCACAGCACCTACTACTGGTCATAAGCTTCAGTCGCAAGTGAATGAAATCCTTTAATTTTCCAGTTTGCAAGTCCTTTGGGTTTCTTGGGCAAATGCTTGGCTGCCTCTTTTAAAGATGCTCTTTTATGAACAGTCATTTAGTAGTATGTTTTCCAGATGTTGACTTAAAGGCTAATTTGAGTGAGCAATTGCAGTCCTTAAACATTAGTGTTAATCATAGCAACATTTAATATATACAGTAGTTTTAATCAAGGCAAACAGCTGCAATTTGCAACCCTGATTATCTGTGAAAACTGCATATATATGACTGCAGATTTTGTGCAGATTGTTGTTGCCAGCTACTGCATGATACCATCTGCAGACTAGCAATACAATTTTTAAGAATACAGCTGCAAAGAGATCATAGAAGCCTAATGGAAATCAATGGGGGAAGTAAGTTGTGACTTATTCAAGTATTGCTACTTTAACAAAATTCAAATGTAGCCATTTTTCATAGAGGTGGTGACAGTGTAATTACACATGTTTCAACTAGTACAAGTGGAATGAAAGAGTTTAACACTGAAATGCTATTCTAAATTATGCTTACCAAATGACACAGGATAGACTTGCAACTAAATCCTCGACCCAACTATGACTTCAAATAACAGTAGTGTAGTAAAGTTACAACAGCGTAGCAATTTTGTTACACCATCACAACCTTAAGTCAGTGTTTCTGCTATGTTAATGTATAACTAGTAACTACATTTTTGTGTATGTGTGTGTGTCCCTATGTAAACATGTCCGTGCCTCAGGGCCCAAAATATTTTGAACTCTGTGGATAAATTGTCTAAAGTATGGAAGATCAAAAGCAGGAGTGTGGGGACTCTTTGCAGCCAGCAGACAAATTCCTGGGCTCTCCCCTCTCCCCCACTGATGGGCAACTTTGATTGGTGGACAGGGCTGGCCAGGTGCCATTCACTTGATGTCACCATGATGTTAGGAGAACCATTTCTCCTTTGTAGCACGGCTTGAGTTCAAGCTGTGCTGCAATGTAAGAGCCAAGTGGGGCTTTGAAGTTACTGCAAATTCACCAGTGGAGGCAATCTGTAAACTGGGTTGGTACTGAAGTCATAATGTCTGAATTGGTCAAAAATTCATTTTTGTTCTAGAGTCTTAGAAGGGACATGGTTATGAGGGCATGGCTTGAGGTTTGTCCTGAAGAGTGCCTGAATTTCATAATTCACCACTTCACCAGTACTAGGAAAAGCCCTACATATGTATACATTCACAGTGATTATCATGCTACTGTTTGCATGTGTGACGTTTTGTAATATAACCAGCTGGCAATATCCAGCTATTCAGTCCATTAAGTATTTTGTCTTACGGCAGTACAGTAGTGCTGAATGTTGCTAAAGGCTGACAGATCAATGGCAACCACTCACTTGGCAAGAAACACAACTAAGGTTCCTGAAAAGAATGGAAACACTAGGGGGCGTTACTTGTCATCCACTGAAAAAAATATATCCTCATTTAGCTGTTGTTGGATCTTATTTCATAAAAATAAATCTAGCAACTTTATGATGGCTTGACTAATTTACATAATCTAATTAAAATTGCTCATGAATTTAGTTCTGCTGCTGGCAAGTAAAACTTAATTGCTAACACAGCATTGCAGCAATAAATCAGTTAAAGGGTGAAATAAAATATATAGACTACAAGCCTTGGCAAATGCTACTATTTCTGTCTGAAAACAGTAGCCTACTGAAAACTGCTCCAAGTTTTCTTTTTTCTTTTTTAAAAAAGGAAAAACGTAAAAAGTGGGCTTGCAGAAGATGTGAAATGTCGCCTGAAAAATCCAAATAAATCTGTCTTTGCCCTCCTGCAATTGCTCCCACAACTGCTATTTTCTTCCCTTGAATTTTTCTCCAGTACTATTTTATTCTCTCTTGCTGCATGATACTTACACCCAAAGGAGAAATTAGCATAAAGCCAACAATCAATACAGCAATTTACACATTGGAAGAAACACACACAGAAGAATGCAAAACTGTAATTAAGCAATACAGCATCCTTGCTTTTCTTAGAAGGGTTCATTCTCCACCCACTCTCAGATTCTAACTAAACAATTGACTTAATGCCTTTGTCTCAAGGCTAAAATATGGCAATGTAGGCACTCAGATATGACTATATAGCATCATCTCTGAGGGAAAATAAAGAAGCACTGTCCTTATTCAGGGGGGTAAGTAAGAAAGGGAAAACGGGAACATGTATTTCTTATGCAGTGCTGAACCAAACAATGAAACTGCTTCTGGGAACATTGCCCAGTTGCATTGGAAATGCAGTACTCTGTTTCCTTCTCATAGATCAGTGATGGGAAAACTGTGGCCCACTAGATGTTGTTGGACTCTAGCTCCCATCAACCCCAGCTAGCATGGCCATTGGGTTACAATGGGAACAGGGCCACACCTACCATTAGGTAAAATGAGGCAGTTGCCTCAGGCAACAGATGCTTGGTGGGTTGGGGATGGGGATGAATAATCAGAAGATAGAACTGTGTGTGTGCCTGCCCTTCATACACTATCTTGCTTTCTTCCATTGTGGTAAAGTACCCCATAAGTGTTTTTTAGAAATAAATAAATAAATAAATAAATAAATAAATAAATGTTCATTATGAAATCCAGTATATTAACATTAAATGTTCATTATGAAATCCAGTATATTAACTTATAGTCTTCCTATAGGTTGCCATGGGTTGATGGAGGAATCATAGGATCTTTTGCCCAATGTGGGGCTTGAACCCATGACCTTGAGATTAAGAGTCTCATGCTCTACCAGCTGAGCTATATAAGTAAACTTAACATATGAAACAAAACAAAACAAAGGGTTATATATTTTTAACCTTCATAGCCTTCAGTTTTCCTGTTAACTTTTCAGCTAAAGCAATTTGCCAAATGGTTGTGCATCACTTGGATACTGTTAATCCTAGAGTGGTTTTTCAGTTTCTCAGTGACAAGCCACCACCATTGAAAATGTAACTAAGTCCTTGTAAGGGAATTCCAGCAGTTTAATTATAAAACATGGGCAACAAAGTTAGCCGAGAAGTACATTGCTTACATCCCACTATTTTACTGATACCACTAGTGTTCAACTGCCAATCCAGCCTGCTTTTGTAGATGGAATTGTGGTATCCGAAGCTGCAATTTTGTCCTTACGCCTCAAGCAGCAAAATGTCTTGGCCTAGCCCAGAGTGAAGTCCAACATCTGGAGAACCAAAGGTTCTAATCCTAATAGGGAAACATTTTCACCCCTGTTAGTGCACCATCATCACATACACAAAAGTAACTTAAAGGGGGGGAGTACTTTGGGTGTCTGGGAAACCTTCAGTGAAAAGTGCCCCCCCCCCATTTAAATTCACCTCAAAGTTAAATGTTTCTTTCAGGGCATTCTCAAAACTAAACTGACTTATGGGATGACATAATGAAAATTCTTCTTGTTTTGCAGGTACACAAAGATGAAGACAGCAACCAATATCTACATTTTTAATCTGGCCCTAGCAGATGCCCTAGTAACCACCACAATGCCTTTCCAAAGTACTGAGTACTTAATGAACTCGTGGCCATTTGGGGATGTGCTGTGTAAAATAGTCATTTCCATTGACTACTATAACATGTTTACCAGCATATTCACGCTGACCATGATGAGTGTTGATCGATACATTGCCGTGTGTCACCCGGTGAAGGCTCTAGACTTCCGTACTCCCCTGAAGGCAAAGATCATCAACATATGTATCTGGCTCTTATCTTCATCAGTTGGCATATCAGCCATCGTCCTCGGAGGTACCAAAGTCAGGGAAGGTGAGTGTGGGCTCTGTTCTTTGCCGGTGATTTGTTCCTGCTCAGTAATAAACTTTTTAAAAAAGCATAGAGACGACTAACACAATTAACTTTTGAATACCAGCTGCTTTCATGCACTTGGCTTGTTCTTACTAGAATCCTCAAAACTGCTCCTTTTCCTTTTTTTAAAAGATGGATTTCTAGTGATCATGGTTGTAACTGCAAAATAATCCAGCCTCCAATACTTGAAAGCTAGTGTAGGTCAGTGCCTAAGTGATGCTGATTGTAGGGACAAAGGAAGATGCTTTGTCCCATTAGTCCATCTAGCTCCTTATTGACTGAAATGATGGAGTGCTGCAGCCAGTCATTGTAGACTCTGCACTGACTGGCAGTGACTTTCCAGCATTTCAGACAAAGGACATTCCCAGTCCCACCTGGAAATGCTGAGGATTGGAACTGGGGCTCTCTGTAAGCAAAAGCATATGCTCTGTTATGGCCCTTTCCCATTAGGAATTCACTGCTTTAAAACTTGCCTTCACCATAAACTCAGTAGATGGACTTTGACAAGTTTCACTTACAGTATTAGGAAAATCTCAGCTCCTACCCCTTTAACAATATGACAATTAACAATTGGTATTAATGATTGCTGAGATCACACACACACACACATCTATGCAGTGTTTTTACAAAACTGTACTACACAAATGCAAAATATTATTCATAGTTGTTACTTTCCTGTGTGAAAGAAAAAATAGCCCACCCTGATTCATATTCGAAATTGTAACATACGTAGCAGTCTGGCAACCACGCATTCTCACAGAAATGTCATCCATATGAATCAATTGCATGCAACAGAAATCTGCAAACTGGTTGAACCCCTCAAGCTGATGGTGTATCTTTCATGGGCCCTGCAGTGATGAACGAGCTGAATGAGACCGGATACTGAAAAGGATCCAAATGCATTGGCTCACATCTGTTAAATTATGTAGCTGGAACTTTGTGTGTGAAAAGCACAGCCACGATTGAGCCTTGTTAATATGCAGTGAATAATTATGCGATACCCATTAGATTATAATTCAGAAGCACTTAGAATGAAAAGTACATGATATTATGCTACGAAATATAATCACTATTAACCCATTGGTACTCTTATCAGGTGAGTCACTCTGCAGTGGTTGCCTGAAGTCAGTCAAACTACGTTGACATGTTTGGTTTCAGGATTTGATGTTTTTTAGCCCATGTGTTCATTCATTGTAACACCTAACCATTGCACCTATCCTTCTAAAAAACTGCATGCTACTTACCTTGGGTGCTTTTGTAACCTATGCTATGTTCATACAGTCCCCAAAAGTGCAGGGGGAAAGTGAATTGATCCTCCCCAGATTAAAAAAAAATCCCCTTACACAAAGCCACTGGCAGGGTTAATCCAATTAGAAGGGGTTACTATGCCAGAAAGTGTGATCCCACTGTCCCTCCCTAAGGAGATCAGAGAAGAGTACACTAAAAACAGTAAAACAATATAAACAAGCAGCAGCAAACAAGAAGACTCATAGTTTCTAATCTCAACAAATTCTGCAAAAAACAACAACCCACTATTGGTTCAATTCCCCATGCTCATGGTAGACTGTGGGAGGACAGAGGAAGCCCTGAATTTCTGAAGCAGGCCTCCACTTTGGACCTGAGTCTAAGCAGGTCTGGCCCAAAGTGGTCTGAGGAAAAGCAATCCACTTTCCAAAGGCCCAAAGAGGGATCCAAACTAAGGTCACATACACACTATACAATTAAGGCACACACTCCTAAAAAAATCCTGGGAACTGTAATTTGTTAAAGGAGTTGAGAATTGTAGCTCTCTGGGTGGTAAACTATGGTTTCCAGGATTCTTTTTTTGGGGGGGGGGAGGAAAGGGGTGCTTTAAATGCATGGTGTGTGCACAGCCTGAGCCTTGTCCTCCGTGTACACTTTACACTGTGTGATTTATACTAGATCCAAGGTGCAGAACTTTTCTTAGCCCAGTGGCCATGTTCCCTTATAGCTAAGCTTTCAGGAGCTGCAGGCTGACTGTGGTGAGCATGGTCAGAGGCAAAAGTGGGTGGATAAAAGGATGTGACTTTTACTTTTGCACAGTAGGCTACATTCCGGCCAATACAAAAGCCTGAGATTTCTACACCCACACCCATCTCTTTATTCAGGTAAGCAAGAGACACTGTCCCACTTCACAGATACATTCCAGACAGTCAAGAGCACTCATGGAACAGGGGCAGTGAGGGTTGTGGCTTGTTTCTGAGATAGACACACACTCTCTCTCCCTACCCCCACCCCCCTCTCTCACACACAGGGCCAACTACTCCATGTATAATTTTTCAACAGCTTCCATGCTTTCCATGTTTTTCTTGTCAATTTAATATTAGGAATGCAAAAAGCACAATTTGTTGTGGAGGAGCAAAGCCTGTTAAGACCATCGGTTCAGTCGAGTGGGTTGAGGCATGATATTACTCTATAGAATATTTGTTCTTCGGCATCATGAATTTCTCATCTCTGTAAATCATGCATTCCCACTCTCAGCTGTTCTTCCTCATTACTTACAGAACAACCCTTCTAAAAGCTACATCTCTTTCTAACCACCATAATTGAAAGAGCTCCAGTTCATTAGAGAGATACAGAATCGCCTTCAGGTAGAGAAAATAAACTCTCTGTTTGAAATACATTCGTAAGGGCACATGAAAGTTCACCCTCTCAAATCAGCACTAACATCACAAAGCAAAGTTGAGCAAACTACAGAATGCACGGAGGATAAGGGACTGCAATTAGAAAGTGAAGACCCAGTTAGGAACACCTGACCCTAAGAGTGCAAAGTGGAAAGTCTTGAAATCACATTAGTAGTAACAACAACAACAACAACAACAACAACAACAACAACAACAACAACTACAACTACAACTACAACAACTTTATTACAGTATTTATATGTCACCCATCTGACTGGGTTGCACCAGTCACCCTGGGCAGCTCCCCACAAAATATTAAAAACAGATTAAAAAACCAGCCTTTAAAAACTTCATTGAATAGGGCTGCCTTCTAAAAGACATCTGGTCTTCTAAAAGTCAAAAGTTTGACATCTGATGAAAGGGTGTTCCACAGGGTGGGCACCACTACTGAAAAGGCCCTCTGCCTGGTTCCCTGCAACCTCACTTCTCTCAGTGAGGGAACTGCCAGAAGGTCTTTGGTGCTGGATCTCAGTGTCCAGGCTGAATGATGGGGGAGGAGACGCTCCTTCAGTTTTTTAAACATTATTTTTGAATTGTCATGACATGCAAACTAAAAAAACCAAAAAACCCAAAAAACAACAACATCCCACTGTTAAACTGTTAGTTTAATCTGTTCCTGTGTTTCCTTCTTGTTGGCTTTTTCATTTACAGACACAGGCAGTACTGAGTGCTCTTTGCAGTTCCCAGATGAAGATTATGCCTGGTGGGACACCTTTATGAAAATCTGTGTCTTTGTCTTTGCCTTTGTTATCCCGGTGCTAATCATAGTCATCTGCTATACTCTGATGATTCTGCGCTTGAAGAGTGTGCGGCTCCTCTCTGGATCTCGAGAGAAAGACCGAAACCTCCGTCGCATCACTCGACTTGTTCTTGTCGTGGTTGCAGTTTTCATTATCTGCTGGACCCCAATCCACATTTTTGTCTTGGTCGAGGCCCTTGGGGACGTGTCACACAGCACTGCAGCCATTTCCAGCTATTATTTCTGCATAGCTTTGGGCTACACCAATAGCAGTCTAAATCCCATCCTGTATGCTTTCCTGGACGAAAACTTCAAACGGTGTTTCAAAGATTTCTGCTTTCCTTTTAAGATGAAGACAGACAGACAAAGCACCAGCAGAGTCAGAAACACCGTTCAAGATCCTGCTTATTCCAGGGAGGCTGATGGTACAAACAAGCCAGTATGACTAGTCGTGGAAATGTCATCTTACTGTCCTCCTGGAAGAGAGGAATCCAATGATCTTGGACTAACTCAAATAACCACCGCAGTGTGAAATGGACAATAATAGACCTATTTGATATTGTGTAAGCTTTCTCATAGTCTGAACGGGCAATTGCTGATAATGAGGGTTTCATCAGCCATGTTTACTGATGATTAGTTTTTGGATCATATTAAGAACAGATATTTGTACATACCACAATATCCATTCTTGACAAAAGACAGTAAACTTCTTCACAATGCTGATCTCTTTATAGGAAGGGAAGGATGATATTTTCCGCTTATGACTCCTTGATGCTCTTACTTAGGATCCATATGGATGCTAGCATGTGGTTTTCATAGATTGCTGTAAAAAAATAAGGGGGGGAGTAAGAATCTTTACCGTGCAAAGATCTTGTGCAAAAATCTTGTTTTACTGTACTGTGTTACAATGATCAGTCTCAATTCTAAGCCAACATTTCCTTATATTCTTTCAGTGAGAAGCATTTTCTGATAAGTGTGTGAACCATGTAGGAAATTAAGGAATCCAGCATTCTACTGCAAACATCTGGGAGCTTCTTTGGGTTAATTTACACAATCGTGTTTTATGTTAGGAGTGAGAAACCTATGATTCTCCAGATCCAACTCATACAATCCTTGACTATTGGCCAGGCTGGCTGGGGATTGATGGGAGCTGGTCCAACAACATCTGGGGGGGGGACTACATGTCCCCCACCTCTGCTTTATATGATGATTACATTTGTGCTTGATAACTTCCAGCACTTCAACTATATGTAATTTATAGTTTTTAATCCTGAGGGGAAACTATAGGATGAGCTTGTCATATAATTACTGCAAATGGAAGACTGTGTAAATTTTATTTCTTTATACAACTTATACCCCTATCTTCTAAGAAACCCAAAGTGTTAACAAGGAGGAGCCATAGCTTGGAGGTGGTGCACAAGCTTTGCAAATAGAAGACCTGCAGTTCAATCCCTGGTATCTCTAGTTAAAAGGACCAGGCTGCAGGCAGCAGGTGGTTTTAAGGATTCCCTGCTGGAGTTTCTGGAAAGCTGGTGCCAGGCAGAGTGGACAGCATTGCACTAAATACATAAATAGGCTGACCTGGTATTTCAGGCACTTACTTTAATAATTGTACCATCAAGGTAATTAGCTTGATGTAATTAATTAATTAATTAATTAATTGAGCTAATTAATTAATTAGCTTACATAACCATGAAAACTCTGTCAAAATTCAAAACAAGGCTGTAAATAAATCAGTCCATGATACTACTAAAGTCTGCCAAAATAAAGGTGTTTAAAAATAAATAAATAAATAAATAAATAAATCACCACCACCACCATTATTTCAAAGATGGTAATATTGGGTTCTGGTGGCCTTTTGGGAGTTCCAGAACTGAAGCATTGTGCCCAAACATGAATGTGTAAATTAGAGGTTGCCAACATGGCACCCATAGACACCCATACCGTCACACAGAAGCCTTCCCTGGTGTCCACCCAGCCTTCCCCACAGTGAAACTAAGCTTGAAAGCAGCATTCTGTTGTAGCCAACTGAATAGGTTGTGTGCTTTTTGTGGTGTGTGTGGTACCCACAACAGTGTGCCTGGTTCACAAACATGCCCATAGCCCCTCAAAGTTTGGTGTCCTCTGGTGTGAATCATATGTTTAAAAAGTAAGACACCGGCTTCATCTTAGCATACAATGAGCTGTCATGCCTGCTCACTTTGCTCATCAACTCCTCCCCTCACAGCTTGGCCAAACCATTTGCCTTCTTACCTCACAGATTGCCCAAACTGTGCACCCCCTCCCCTTACAGATCACCCAAACAACAGCCCAGGTGAGCTTTAGAGGAACAGGCAGGACAGTCTGCTGCTGCTTCATCCCATGGCCTTTGACAGTGCTGAGGCAGCATCACTGTGAGGTACACAATGGCAGCAGGGCCAGACAGTTGCTGGGGAGCTGACCCAACCTGTTCTGCCTGTCCTTCTGTAGCTCACATGGGCTCTGCTCCACCTACTTGCTTGTTTGCTGCACCTGCCTGCTTGCCTGCCTGTCTGGGCCACCCACCTGCTGTTTTGTCATCATGCTGCAGTTCATTTGGCCACCTGTTGATGGCCACATGAACTGCAGTGTGATGATATTCTTACAATTTTATTATATACAGTATTCAGTTTTATGGTGTCCTTCAGCTACAGGCTCTGAAACCAGAGGACTCCTGGGTATGGATTACAGGAACCAATGAGACTGCTTCTCATTGCAATGCAATCTAATGAATTTAAAGTCACCTTCTCCACTCTGCCCTGCTGGCTACAGCTAATGAGGGTTATAGTCCAAAACAGGAAGGTATCAGGTTGGAGAAGGCTGCTCTAGGAGCCTTCCCAGTGTCATTGTCATCCCACCCCACTTGTTCTATTTCACCATTAAATTTCTAAATTGACATGCAACAAAGCCACAAAAAATGTTTCAACCAAAATATAATGTATAAATGTGTATAATTTATTCTAGCTAGGCTTTTTGCCAGTAACATAATTGTGGACTGTTTGCATATGTCTGTCTGCAATGCAAGCTTTCTTGATCTGCAAGATCACTGCATGGTCCCTGACTCTTGTATTTGTGTCTGTCTACCACAAAAAGTGCTTCAGTGTGGTTTTCTTTTACTTTCTTTTTTTAAAAATTACAAATATAGTAACATATATATTCTGCATCATGATGATTAGTCCTTTTTTTGTTCAAAACCCCCAAAATATATCTGCCTACTGATTGTGAGAGTGACACAGTATGCTTTTCACTAATATGGAATTCTTGAGAAAGACTATCAATCATCTAGAGCAAAATCTAGTAAAAATAACTTCTTGCATAAAGGTTTGATGACAGAGGCACATTTAATTTTTGTTTAAGCATTTATCATCCAAAAATTTTCACTTTTCCTAAGTTTAGTTCTTAGATTATGGGAGAAATTGCATAAAATTTAAACACTATAAATCATGATCAAATAACAAGTTACACATATTGCATAGCATGCAGCTATGCCTCTTCTCTTTCTTAAACTAATTACTGTCACGGATATCAGGGGTAGGTGAGTAATGAGGGATTATTGGAGTGTGTGGGAAGGGGAGGTTTCTAAGGCCACATTCACACAAAACATTTAAAGTGCTATGCCATCACTTCAAACAGTAATGGCTTCTCCCAAAGGTTTCTGGGAGCTGTAGGGTGTTAAGGGTGCTGAGATTTGTTAGGAGAGTCCTATTCCCCAGAGCTACAATTTCCAGAATTGTTTAGCAGTCAATCCCTCTTCAGGGAATTGTAATTCTGTGAGGGAATAGGGTCTCCTAATAACTCCTAACAATTCTCAACATTGACAACTGTTCTCCGGGGTTTTAGGCCCTGAAGACAACAGGACTTGAAACTGGAGCCTTCTGCATGTGAATCCCCTACTACAGGTATATCACCTCACCATTTTGGATCTGTAGACATGGAGCAAGGTCTATGACATCACAGATACTTCAGAAATGCTGGTTCTCATCCGTTCCCTTCAGAGGTCAACAGCATATTTGACTGTAGAATCCAAAATAATGGATGCCAGAACATTTGGCAGAAATTTGCATGGTGGGGGGTGGGGGGGTGGTTTGCTTTTCCATTACAGACCTTTTCTGTTATAGACCTGGAGAGTTCTGTCTATTTCTAGTAAAAACATGCCTATGTACTAAGCAAAACGAGAGCTTGCGAAGTCTAACTAAATTAAGGAAGGCTGGGCAACTAAGACTGTAGCTTGCTTTTGAAGGGTTTTTCCAGCTGGATATGCCCTTGTACAAATATCTTTCAGTAACTTTGTGAGCACTGAATTAGACACACTGCATTCTGGCTAGAAGCGTCATCTGCCCCTTTCACAAAGCTTTTACAATGATTACTTTGCTCATTGCCATACCTTAACGTAGGGGTGGCTTACATGTGAGATGTTACTGAAATACAGTTCTCATCATCCCTAACCACTTGCTTTGCTGCCCTGGGGCTGATGGAGTTGTGGTTCAACAACACCTGGAAAGCCACAGGTTCCTTATTTAATATGCTCCACAGAGCTGTACAGATGGAATGGGAATAGAAAGTATGATTTTTATTTTATTTATGATTTTATCCTCATTTTGGGAGGGTATGAGGTGGGTTATGTAAAGAGGAGATGAATGGTCAAAAGATGATCCATCAGATGGAGAGCAAGGGTCTGTGTTTGAAACCATTCACCTCTCCTCCTGCCTGTCTCCATTTGCATCCCACTGCTATATTTATCTATATGGTAGGTGACTGTAATAATAAGTTGTAGCCTGTGACTGTACACGAGCTAGCAAGCTCTAGAGCGGACAAGCACTTTCATTTGAAAAAAACAAAACTCTCAACGCCCACTCTCCCCCATTCATGTGACAATGAAATGGCATAAAGATGCTAGTGATTATCTGTTGTCGTTATTTATAATTCTTTATTACACACGTAATAAAGTATAGGAGCATCCCACATTTTTGCCACCTCACATGGGACACATTGCTTTGTGCTGCTTAGGCTTCATGGTTGCTCAAATCGTAGCATTCAGTTGCAGCCTTCATCTTGTCAATGACAAACAGAAACACAAATATCAGATTGTCTACCCTGCAGGATGGAAGCACATTCCATGAGCATAGAACCATCATTTGCAATGGTCCCGACATCAATAGTAACTTCTATTAGAAAATAATTATGTACCACATTTTTTTATTATCATATTTTTGGGTGGTGAATGCCAATGTGCAAAGTCTGTGTAACTCTTTTACAAGATTTAAACTATTAATTTTATGTGTATTCCAAACTTTTTATTCAGGGTCTTAGGAGGGACTTACACAGCAAAGGGCATTCAGAGACAAAGAGCACAGAACTCTAAGACATCAAACAACACAATATTCTATCTTAATCATGTGTATAGTGGTTTTACATACATGGCATGATGCACATAAATACTGCAAAGCAATGAAAACAGAGTCCTGGGCTCCCAAAGTTCCATCTTTTGGCTTGTCACCACAGAAGTTCTCCCCTGGGCCACCATCAGCAGCAGTTGCTCTTCCTTGAAGCAAGTTCTGCTTAGAGTGACCCAGTGGAGGTGCCTGAAAAACAGAACTTAGGAGAACCCCAAAGTCCTTGAAATCAGTGGACTTAAGAATGCCTCACTCTTGAGTCAGACTCTGGCACTGCATTTCTGTTCAACTGAGTTTAGGATTATTCTTTTTCTTGGCAAAATGCCAGTCTGTTAACAGATTTTATACAGTCAGTGCAGTAGCACTGCATAGGGTGGCTCCTCCTCTCTCACACTCAGGAGGAACCCATGCCACACTCGGCTCCATGCTTGGCCTCCTCCACCCCCTCAACACTGAGGCCCCCCCGCCAACAGATATTGAGGGGGCTGAAGACACCCCTGAAGACACCTGCTACCTACCGCATCTCCTTGCAAAGGAAATGTTTCAGGGCAGTGATGGCTCCTTCCCCGACTTACGCAAACTAATGACTTGCAAAATGGAACAACTGTGCCACAGCTTTAGCCTAGAGAGAAAAGGCAGAGAAAACAACCCTGTAAATATAAGCAGACTGAAAAATAGAAGGTTGCAAAATGAAGCTACGTGCCTCAGCTGCTCTGGGGGACTAGAAAACCGTATGCTTTGTGAAGAAGCCACTTTTGCATCTGTTATTCATACTAGCAGAAGGGCAATGTGTGTTATCTCACACTAGAGAATAGCATTGCTTTGATGCAATACTAACAACAGATTTTGTTGCTAGACGGGGCTTATAACTAATGAAGATCCACGGTGGCTGAATGGAAGCAGATCCTATAGCAAGCCATGCTAGAGTAAGGGATCATCTACTTAGACTGCAACCCCAATGTCTTGGGGGGGGGGCAGAACCAAAAGCAGTTTAACTGCCTCATGTAAAGTCCTGCCAGGCTCTCATCTGCAAGGTGAAAATAATTCCAAAACAGTGGTCTTGCACTCTTCTGCTCAGTTTGCTTTCTTTTCTTCTTTAAACCCTTTACTTACCTCACTTTGTTTCCCAGGGGATATTTATTGCAGGTTTTGGGAGGGGTCTGAGGAGGGGAGTGATATTGAGAAGGCTATGGATCTAGCAGTTCCACACCTTCTCCCAGATCCAGTGCATTTTTTCTGGGGGTGCGCAGGGGTACATATACCCCTAAACATTTTATGAATCTAAGTTTGGCCTCATTGAGGGGCAGTATTTCAATATGAATAGGAAAGTACCCCTAAACATTTTTTATTTTTTTTAAAAGCATTGCCCAGATTCACACCTTTTTCGGGGTTTACTGACATTAGCACTCTGATTTCAGTAGGGATAGACCCACCAATGTTTTCATGAGTGCTGGAGAGGTGGGATCTGATGTTGAATCTCCCTCTCTGTAAAAGTGAGAGACCTGTTGTATCCTATGGTCCTTGCAATGTCCTCCCAGAGGCCTTGGAGCTGCAATCTTCTTTCTCTTGTTGTTTCTTTTAAAAAAGTATTAAAATTAGGTAGCTTTAGGATTGTAGTGTTTTTCATTTTCTACTGTAAATTGCCTTGGAAGCGAACATTGAAAAGTAGTACATACATTTTGTAAATGGATAATATGGAAAATGAATGGCTGAAAAGCCTGCCGACCCCTCCTCATATTATGAAAAGATATTTACATTTTTGAATGTGCATTTTTGAGTGTGCATTTTTGAATGTTCTGACAGAAGACACTCAGCTAAGAAACTTGCTTTTGGTTTCAACTCTAGCTACCCAGGAAGAATTCAAAATTCCATCTTTACCATTCATCATGTGCTTGTCAGGATTCAACCATCTGTATCTGAGAGCTATCAGAACTTCTGGTTCAAAGGAAGGCTCTTGTTTCTGTGACTGTGAATTTGAGCCCCACATTGCCTTCAGAGAAATCACTATTTCTTAGGTTAAACCCCTTTCCCCAAGGCACACTACAGGGACGATAATATTAACTTACAGTACTGTGTTTATATTAGATTTCTCCATGTCATTTTTATTTAATCCAAAATGTGCTGATTAGGGCTTTGTCACTGAAATCTTGATAGAATTTAACAGGGTAAAATTCTTAAAGCCATGGCCTCAGGTCTTCCTAAGTAAGGAAGGCCACTCTGAATCACAAGAACACAAGTAGACTAGTATTATTTAAAATTTATTGGTGGCTCTAAAACCTACAGACCTTGAACTGCTCCCTTTAGATTTACAAAAGCCCTGGCATGCAGCAGCTGTGGAATTGTCATCCCTGGAAGGAATAAAGGAACTATTTATGTGCCATAACCCTTAACCAATGCTGCACATAGAAAACATCAATTGCCATATATTTTCTGGCAGGCTAAGCCCTAGAAAACTTTCAGTTACAGTTCCTTAAGTCTGAGAAAATTAAGGATTTTGAAGGAATTGGAATTGCCACTACTTCTGAATTTCTAGTGATAAATGTAATATTTCTGGTGATAATGCAATCGGACATAGAACAGCCGTTTTCACATGACTTATATCTAATATGAAAGCATGGACAGGGAGAAATGGAATTGTGACCTGGACCTAGGCCACGGGCCAGATCAAGCGAAGTAATAGTGCCATTCTATTATGCCTTGGTCA